TTGACCTGTCGTAACTTACTCTGGAGGTTTGGCGATAATGAATGCCGTTTTTGTTGTCGTCAGTCAGGAAGTTGATGCCTTGACAGTACTGTCGTCTCCTTTACCACTAACGAACGAAGAATGGGCTACCAGGAAGATTCTGCTTGAAAAAGACGTCCCCGTTGCTATAATCTCGGACAAATGATTATTCCGGCGCCGAGAATAAATGAACTTAAAACACACACACTTTTGTTGAAAACAAAACAAAAAAAACAAAAACATATTTTCTGTAGTAATTTTTCAAGTGTTGTAAAATGAAAACGAAATTCGTCTTATGCCGCCAATCATTTTTAGAACACAAACATATAAGTTCTTTTTATTTGATTTATTCAAATAAACATTAACCACTTCAGCGCGCGCAAATATCGTTTTCAAATTAAAATTTCGTAAGATATGTTGATGACTTTCCGATGCTCGACTGTAAGTCATTCGTATATATATGCGGTTTTTTTTGTTTTGTTTTTTTAAAGCTTTTTATTCTTTAATATTTTTATGTATCTCATAATCTGTATTGAAAATTTTATTACACATGGACTATCAAATTATGATTCGTTGCCCTAGAATTGAATAAACTTTCTAATTACACAATACGGAGTCACTCATTTGATTGAAGACTGATATTTGCGTCTTTCTCTGAAATAATTATTTCCTTGTTAAAACATATTTGACCACATATTTCTGTTCACTTTACTTCCGATTTTTGTTGTACCGAAACACATGTTTCTATTTGTGTTTTCTATTCGAATCTATAATCAGTTTAATGGGATCACCACCGGGTAAACGACTACTAGGTACTTTGGTCATGTTTTTTACCCCAAATATTTGAATGTTTCTATTGGGATTAAAACGAGCGTACAACTGGTTGTATAAATCCCTGACCTGTCTAATTCCAATTATGAGATTAGTGGATATATTAAGACTTTCACTACAAAATATTCCTAAACAAAAGAGCACATGTTTAAATTTATTCCTTTACAAATAAAAGATCAGAGTAGGGATCTGTCAATTGCCAGACATATTTTTAAAAGATACTTTTATGTTAAAAGTTTGATTAATGAATTATGTAAGATGAAAATATAAGTATTGCTTTTTTTATTTTGCTAATATTAAATGTAATCTTGTGGTAAAATTTTGTCAAAGGGTCCTTACGGATTTTGTAGTTAAATAGTTTTTTTCGGCGATACATGGTTTAAGAATATAATGTTTTCAAACTATATGTTCATCACCATTAGTGAATTTTTAGTTAATTGTATGCAAAATATTTACAAACAGCTATATGATATAGCGGTTTATGAGCGTTTTCCGCGTACAACCTCCTAAGGTGTACTAATAAGTTAGTTTTCCTTAGTTATCACGCAAGCATGATCCATGTCTCTGATGTAAGCGACAGTTTACCATTTTTTGTCTTTAAAAAAATATTAAGGACTATGATTGGTTTATAACAACAAAAGAACATGCATGATATTGAGACTACGGTGTTGCAACGTTCTAGTTAATGACCCGTCATAAACAGTTGGTCGCTGCGTAGTAATTGGAAAATTGTTTTCAAAAATAATAAAGAATATTTGCCACCTAATTAAAGCATTTACCTATAAATTTTTATTTATGCTTTTTGTTAAAAAAATATTGATAAAGTTATTATATAGAAGGGTTTTCATACCAGAACTATTTATTACCAACGTACTTATGCCTAAACCTGATAACCGCGGCAGTATGACATCACGGAGTAGTGATTTTGAAAAAAATAACAAACAAAAATCAAAAAATTTTCAGAGAATTATTATCTTTACAATTGCAGATATGAAATAAAAGAATGAAATTATTTTCATATTGTAAATGTCTGTGATGAGTGATGAGTCAGCTTAGAAAAAATCAAGGTACTATTTTTTGACCTGATTACCGCGGCAGTAACATTTGACGGATGGTATTAACATTGGGGAGGCTATGCCTCCCCAAAAATGGTTTAACGGATGCATTCACTTGAACATAGCACGCACTAGTGTTACCGTGTTTCGTGATATGCACGAGGTCATCATTAAAAAATGTTTTTATGCCCCTGCCGGGTAAAGGCCGGAGCATACAGTGTTACTCTGTTCTTTCATTCCGTCCTTCCGTCTTGCCGTCATTATCAGTTTCCGTTTATTATCTTGATAACGGTTGCTCAAATTCAAATTTGACATATGTATATATCATAGGAAAAGGCGGGTCAAGTTTGAATTTGGTCATGGTCCCGTGATTTATGACAGAGTAATCCCGTCCATTATCTCCGCAACAGTTGTACATATTCAACTCAACTTTAGCATATAGATTATTAGCCATAAGAATACGCTGGTCAAGTCAGAATTTGGTCAAGCTTTGATGACCACTGACAGAGTTATCCCTCTTGAAAAAAAACAGTTTCAGCCCTCACACTTTTGTGAAAATGTAAGTAAATAGTCATTATATCGGCTACAAACATGCAATATGCAATTTGCAAAAGGTTAACGCTGAATAGTTTTTTGAGCTTTTTTTAAATTTTTTAAACAATTTTGTATAATATAAAAATTTGTTAATTGTGGTTGAGAAATACTTTTAAACTTTGATTGCGTGGTTATGTAACAAAATAAAAATATTTCTTTCTTTTACATCGCTAGTTTAAAGCTGTTTTGAGAACTACTTGTTGTATGTCGGGAAAATACAGTGCTTGAGGTTGAATGTAAGCATTGTATTTCAGAAAATACAAAAAGTGTTTCTAAATGCTTCAATATAGCCCTATTTAGGAATACCTGTCACAAACTGAAAAATTGACAACCAAAGTTCACTACTGCTCTTGTAGCGACGACCTGCAAAATGTGTCTTTTAGTAAAGGAAAGAGGAAACGTCACAGGGTGCCAAGTCTGGAAAGTACGGCGGATGTTGAAACAAGAATGATCCTTAAAAAAGATATACGAGCGAAGTAAAACTGGTTAAATTTCATATGTTAGTTCTTAGTTTTCTTTTCCATGCAAAGTAATAAAGAATTGCATAACAATGAGATAATTTCTTGTAGGGATATTAATCTTGAAAAATGGAACACTTTAAGATGTATGTGTTTCTAAATAATCCTGTCGTGTTTCTTAAGTGAACTCAATTTCTAACCCAAAAATCTACGCAGTCGGTATTGCATTTTTTTTATAAATACTTTATTAATATGCAGAAATGTAATATTATAAAGATTTTATCAACTGAACACATCAATAATCATATAATACTTTTAACACTGTTTGAACAACATAAACTCAGGGTACCTGATATGTTTTGATATTATTCTCGTTATTTTGGACAAAATTTAAAAACTCAGATCTTGTATAAAATAAACTCAGTAAGTTCTGTAAGTTTTTACGTAAAATAAACTGTTCATTAGAAAATGTAATGAGATCTGAATGCAAGAAATATTGTTAAACAAGACGTAAATAGCAGAGCAATTAAACTAGAAAGTGAAAGAACTATTTTGTATATTTAATTTTAGAAATACATGTATGCTTTTATTCTTACATTTTATTTCCGCCGGTTATAATTGCCAAATTCAATCTATATATTTGCTAAATTAAACAATTTCTCAAGATCCTTAAAGATCGTTTAGCACAACATTATTGTGGTGTGTGTGGTATTTTTACTTTTTGGCATTTTTCTTCTTGGGTGGTTCCAATATTCCTACTTGAATATTGTGGAATCACCCTAAGGGTATGTTGCCTGCTCTTTAAATTTGTCTTTTGACGTCATATCTGTGATATGACGACTTCATATGAACACATCTGCGGATGTTTAAAATTCCAAATTATACCAGTTTATAATAAATGTTGAATACTGCTTAAGCCGGTGCTAGGGGCGTGGGCGGTAACTTGCATATTGTGGGGCCTTCACAAAAGCAATAAAACATAACAAGAGGGCCATGATGGCCCTGAGTCGCTCACCAGAAACAACTGCTTTTCAGTGTTGGAATGTCAATATATTATATAAATATTGAATTTGAGCATAGAATATGTTTAAACAATAATTTGAAGAAATGCCATGACCTGGGGTATTTAAGTTTTAGCTTAAACGGGGCTTATCAAATTAATATGAGCAAACTTGATAAAAGACTACCTAAGAATGCTTCGAAGTTTGGTGATCATCTATCAATCATTGCAGTAGGAAATGATGTTTGGAGGTTTTTTTCTATTTTAAGCTTTAGTAGCCCCTAAAAGGAGCTAATCAAATAAATATAAGCAAACTTGATAAAAGAGTACCCAAGAATGCTACAGACAAAGTTTGGTGATCATCGATCAATTAGTTCTGTAGAAGAAAATTTTTAAACGCATTTCTATTTTTAATTTTAGCGGCCCCTAAATGGGGCTAATCAAATTAATATGAGCAAACTTGATAAAAGATTACCCAAAAATGCTACAGACAAAGTTTGGTGAGCATCTATTAATTATAGTCTGGAGGTCCTTCCCCTTTCGCTACGCAAAGAGTCAGGCATACGCTGTTTAATAGTGAATGTGATGAACTATTCAAAATAACAGCAATTTCTAACATTACTGATCATCCAGTAATTAAAGTCACGGTGTTTAGGTAAATACATGCTCAATAATTTGAAAACTTCAAATCGTCTGTAACGAGATTCTACTCGGTGTGTTTCGAGATAATTTAAACTTGCATAGTTATCAGACGTTAATACGTACTGTGCAATTTCGGACATAAGTTATTTTTAGGGTCGGCGTGGGGTTTAGAAGTTGTAATTCACCGATAGTGTTTCATACGCCATATAAATTCTTATCATTTGATTGATTATTGCCCTTTTCAATTGTGTTTTGCCACTGTATTTGTGACAGGTCTTGATTATAGACCCCTATTCCAGGATATAGCCATGCATTCTTGCACTCTTTCATTAATTATGTACATGCTTTCAGATAAATAACCTGAATCCATAGAACAACCAGGTGTTGGCCTTACTATATGGAATGGCAGAGTCACGCAATGATAAGGTAAATATTCTGCATAGAATGAAGAAAAGTTTTATTATCATGTCAGAACTGTAAGAATAACATCTCAGACAGATTTCTATTATGAGACTACATGTCCATTAATATATTTATAGATATACCTTGTTTTAACAAAATACAGGAGTGCCCATTAGTGGCTAAAAGTGATAAATTCCACTACCAATTTGAAAATAATTAAATCCCATGCGAATGAAGTAAAATAAAAGTTGCATATATTTATATATATACTTTACCATGTTTGTTTATATTTTGAGCAAAAATATTCAACAGCCCTAAAAAACTACAACAAGGCTTATAATACTGACATTCAACAATTAAAGCCTCTGCAAACATGTTGTTGGTTGGCAAGGACTGTGTCTGCTGCCTTCCCACTGGAAATGGCAAATCACTGATTTTTGAAATTCTGCCTTTTATTGACACAAATTCATTTGTTGAACCCTTAAATGTGATTATTCTGCAAGAATGCAAAATGCTTGGTGACAAAGCTGTTGCCTTGCATCAAATACTGATTTAAGTCTAGTCAAGGATGGAAAGATAATTATGTTACATTTTTGTCATCCAGAGGACATTGTGAACAGTAAGCATATTATTGATCTCTTCAGATGTGAAGAAATGAAAAAAGGAAGATATATTTTGTAATTGACGAAGCACATTGTATCTGAGAATGGGGGCGAATTGTTTGACCAGTTTACAAAAACTTGGGGGAACATGAAAGATTGTTTTTGTTTGTAGTGTGCTAGCACTCTCTGCTACAGTGACAGTGTCGGACAAAAAGCACATAATGAAAAACTTAAATTTTGATTGACTGCAAATATATTTGTGCTACTAGAGAAAACATTGAACTCATTGTCTTAAAACGAATAAGTGTTTCTTCAAAGTGAAACAGTGCAAGTGCACCCTATGAATACATTTTCAAGAGGGTATTGGATGATTTGGTTGATCTCGGTGACCAGTTTCCTGTCACAGTAATATATTGTAAAGCCATGCAATGGATAGGCTATGGTTACCAGTTAGCCAGAGAAATCCTTGGCGACAAGTTTTATGCTGGTGAGCCAAGTCCAGAAACTGCAAGAGTAGTGATGTTCCATTCTTCCATGGAGGGCAGTGAGGCATGTGTCAATATGCACATTGTCATTCAGATAGAGTCAAAAACAAACCCATTTCAGTTCATTCCTTATTTATTTTAATGAAAATAAGAAATAGTGAAAATTATTCATACTATTATTATTATTGAAAAAAATTACAAAGTTATATAAAGACTTTGTTTTTTGACTGTATCTTAATGACAATGCCTCATCAGTTAATTTCATTGAATGAACTTCCCCTATTGGTAGTGTGCCTGATGCTCACCAGCATAACAATATATCACTGTGACAGGAAACTGGTCACCAAGATCACTCCAACAATCCAATACACTCTTGAAAATGTATTCATAGAATGTACTTGCAATGGTTCCCTTAGAAGAAGCACTTGGTCAATTTAACAAAATGAGTTCAATGTTCAATTTTGTTGAAATAGCACAAATATATTTGCAGTCATTCAATTTTAAGTTTTTCATTATGTGCTTTTGTGCGACACATGTCACTGTAGCAGAGAGTGTTAGCACACTATAAACAGAAGCAGAACTCCAGAATACCTTAATGTTGCTATTTTCTCTAATAAATTCCCACACCATTCCAATTAGTGAAGCAGGGTGTCAATTTGACCATTGAAATGACCCTTCAAATTTCCAATAGGCCAAATTTGACCCTTAGTATTTTAACTGAAGGGGGGTCAAAGTTTATTAAAATCTTGGGGATTTGGCCATGTAATTAGCAATACAGGTCAAAATTACCCTCAGGATTATGTGACTGTATGACACCCTGTTAAGCAATATTTGATAAATTTTTTGTATTAAAAATAACCCCTATTTCAAATCGGGGCTGGAAAAAAACCAAAAACATGTTTAAAATTTTCATTTCTTGTACAGGTCAAAAAATTGATCAATTAAAAAATTAGGCCTTTTGAAACGAAAAAATGACCCTGGCAAATCTCCAAAAGTCACCAGATCAGTGTAGCCTGAGGCTGGTATTTGCTTCAGTGGCGCTTGGCATGGGAGCAGACCTTAGGCATGTTGAGCGTGTGATACATACAGGACCACCTTCCACATTAGAAAGTAATAAATATATATTTTTCTTTAATTTACTTAATACATTAAGTTAAACAATTTTAGTTTAAAAACAAAAGACCTACATACATGTAAATATAATAATACTTTAAGGGACATCCGTTGCCAAGTGGTTAAGATTGTTGACTTCAAATCACTTGCCTCTCACCACGGTGGGTTCAAGCCACATCAGTGACTTTGAATTTTTCAAGTGAGAAAGCTATCCAGCTAGCTTACGGAACGTCGGTGGTTCGACTCGGGTGCCTGTGTCCTCCACCATTTAAACTGGAAAATCGCCATATAACCTATACTGCGTTGGTGCGAAGTTAAACCTAACCAAAAAAAAAATAATCTTAATACTTGCTATAGCCATTTCTTGCATTGTAGTGAAAATAAATATCATTTATTTCAGCATATATTCAAGAAGTTGGGCGGTGTGGACAGACTGGTACACGCGTCCATGCCATACTTTACTACAACAACAGTGACCTGGCAAACCAGCACATGCAAGCAAGCATGAAGGACTTTTGCAAAATAGATAAATACAGAATCCCTAAAGAAAGCCCAACACGACAAAATTGAAAATGTTGCAGGCTCGGTTTGATTGAGCCTGTTCATGGACGGTACTGGAAAGTGCAAGTTACCGTCCACGCCCCCTAGCACCGGCTTAAGCAGAATTCAACATTTAAACATGAAATAGTAAAATTTTGAATTTAGAAGCATCCGCAGATGTGTGCATACGGCGGTTATCATGGAACCTTCAATGTGACACTTCCGTGCCATTCCATGAAAAGCGGCGTATGGTCCCCAAGTAATAAAAAGCGTGTGCCCTAAACGAGAAAACAATGGGCGGAACTAAATAAAATTGAATTTTGAAAGGGGATCAGAGGTTATGAAGCCTGCATATCACAGATAAGACGTCAAAAGACAAATTTAAAAAGCAGGCAACATATCCTAAGGGTGATTCAACATTATTCAAGTAGGAATATTGGAACCACCCAACTAGAAAATGCCGAAAAGTTGAAACTAAAAATACCACAAGCAGAACAGTAATGTCGTGCTGAACGATCTTCAAGGATCGAAAATATAACATCATTGATTAAATGTACGGGGAGACTTTTTACAGCCGCCACACGGCACAAATAACACGGATGTGATCATAAAATAGATAAATACAGAATCCCTAAAGAAAGCCCAACACGACAAAATTGTAAATGTTGCAGGCTCGGTTTGATTGAGCCTGTTCATGGACGGTACTGGAAAGTGCAAGTTACCGTCCACGCCCCCTAGCACCGGCTTAAGCAGAATTCAACATTTAAACATGAAATAGTAAAATTTTGAATTTAGAAGCATCCGCAGATGTGTGCATACGGCGGTTATCATGGAACCTTCAATGTGACACTTCCGTGCCATTCCATGAAAAGCGGGCGTATGGTCCCCAAGTAATAAAAAGCGTGTGCCCTAAACGAGAAAACAATGGGCGAACTAAATAAAAATTGAATTTTGAAAAGGGATTCAGAGGTTATGAAGCCTGCATATCACAGATAAGACGTCAAAAGACAAATTTAAAAAGCAGGCAAACATATCCTAAGGGTGATTCAACATTATTCAAGTAGGAATATTGGAACCACCCAACTAGAAAATGCCGAAAAGCTTGAAACTAAAAATACCACAAGCACAACAGTAATGTCGTGCTGAACGATCTTCAAGGATCGAAAATATAACATCATTGATTAAATGTACGGGGAGACTTTTTACAGCCGCCACACGGCACAAATAACACGGATGTGATCATAAAATAGATAAATACAGAATCCCTAAAGAAAGCCCAACACGACAAAATTGAAAATGTTGCAGGCTCGGTTTGATTGAGCCTGTTCATGGACGGTACTGGAAAGTGAACGATGTAAAAGAGAACTTATTTATGAACATTTTGGGTTTATCAAGTCTGAAAGACCAACAATATGTTGCAATATTTGTCAGACTGATCTTGGCTTACAATGGCATTTTTCTCATTTATCCATAAAGTAAACAGTGAATTTTCTCCCCATTTATGTTTTGTTTTGATACATGTCCATTTATCCAGATCAAAAATGTTTACATGTAACTGTTTTAATTGATCTTGTGCACATACTTGAAATCATTATTCTCTAGATGGGGCACTAATTTAAGAGGAATAGCTCATATTTGAAAGTAGGTGACAAATACTCTTACCTAAAAACCATTGGTGTTTGATAGCAGGAATATGGATCAAAGACCATGTTCAAAATCACCATTCAGTGTTTTTTTACTTTCACATATAGATGCAGGAAATATAAAAAAAAATGTTAGCAAAAGTTATAAACTTTTCTTGGGTTTCAAATAAATAAATACAGCAGTAAAAACTTCAAATTATAAAATAGCTTTTTTACAGTCAAGTTCATGTTTTCTTTCTAAAGATACATTGTTAAATCTGCAACATATAATACATGATTGTATAAAAATCCAAGGACACTGAAGGTTATTCATTGAAATTATTTACTTTCATGGGGGTCTTAATTTCATATAAATGTGTTTGTATCATAGTTTGGGGACCTTTCTGTTGAAAAAGTGTCAAGAGTTAAATCGTATACATAAATGCACAGTGCGGTAACTGGAGTGCAGGTATCAGTTACCCGCACTCCAGATAATGCCCGTTGATTGGCTCATTTTTGCTGGGGTTTACTTATTGTGACGACAGAGAAAGGGAAAGCGGCAGAAATATCATATTCAAATGCTCGTTCATTGGTTACTTTTTTCTGGGGTTTCATATTGTGACAACAGGGAACGTGTTTTTATGTTTGACTATGATACAAAAGAGAAAGAACACCAAAACACTCGGCAATCTACGCCCCCTCGTACAAATCAGATAGCCTTGTGTTTCGATGCTCTTTCTATTACTTATAGGACGATGTGTGTTGCCTATAATTTGCCAACATCATGTTATGCTTTTTGAAATAAAAATTTTAATTTTTTGCAGTCACGTTTTATTTTTATGCATTCTACTATTTCCAAACATATGGTGTTTGGTATATCTATGCATATAATTGGGAAAAAAAACATATTGATTTAAGGCACAAAATGTGGACGCACATACTTTAGTTTCATAACAAATAACATTAATTTACTTTATAGGGCTTATGTAAAATTTACTGTCCAAAGTTCATAATACATATAAAATATGATAAACAAGATCAACAAGGAAATGCGGCGTTCAATGAACGCAACCCCATATGACCCAGCAACAAGAACCAGTGGCAAGGAGCCGAGGCGGACCCCAAACAAAAACAGGACAGGGCACAAGACAGAGCACGGACAGGTTAATCACTAAATGATAAATAATAAGTAACTGATTAGGAATTCAAAGAAAATAAATAAATGATTGAATAATAAACCCACAAAGTCAACGGGCACGGGGTTATCAAAGAAATAAAAACTAGAGGTAAAGGGGGAAGATACTTACCGTAGACGAGACAACAACAAGGGAGTTTGTGTTTTTTCCATCCACAAAAAAAGTTCATCCAGATTTAATTTTGTAAAAGGATTCCGTGGCATATCATTTAATGATTCGATATGCCGGTCACATCTGTGTTAAAAAGGCCTTATTCCCCGTAAGTCTGAAATTATGTGCAGCTCATCTTGATGTGAAGATGGGGTCTTGTGTTTTTGAGAACGCCTCAGTACAAGGGATTGAAGGTCATAGTTTTTCTGAAATTTCATTCATCCCATGAAAGGAGGAACTTTTTTTTTTCATTGAAGCCTCAGAAACATTTAAACACATAGACTTCATGTGGTTCTTGGTAACTCTTACCAGATGTTCCATCTGTAAATCAGCTGGTATGTTACTATTTCTTTTCCCGCCTGTGTTGACGAGCAGGCCATACAAACTAGAACTTGCAACCTTTTCACTCAATAAAGCAAGCTGCTGGCAAAACATTTGCAAAATTTCTATGGTATATTTTGACCTATGGTTGTGGCATTTCAGAAATACCATCAGGTATTTTAAAGTCCTTAGTAATCGATTTCTGTCCGGCACTTTAATGATATCATTCAGCTGAAGAATAATAAGACCCAGCTCAACCACAATTTTGCCATATACATGAATGGAGTCACAGTCATAATTTTGGGCTTCAGCCGCAACTGCTTGATTTTCACTTAAAATATGATAAACAAGATCAACAAGGAAAGGCGGCGTTCAATGAACGCAACCCCCACATGACCCAGCAACAAGAACCAATGACAAGGAGCCCAGGGGGACCCCAAACAAAAACAGGACAGGGCAAAGACAGAGCACGGACAGGTTAATCATTAAATGATAATTAATTTGTAACTGATTAGGAATTCAAAGAAAATAAAAATAGGCCCACAAAGGGGAAGGGGACAGGAGACCGGGAGAGGGGGTGGGGAGTAATCAAAGAAATAAAAACTAGAGGCAATGGGGAAGATACTTACCGTAGACGAGAAAACAACAAGGGACACAAGCAAAAGTGTCACCAAAACAGTATGAAACAACATAAGACATACATCTGAGGAACACAGTGGGGCGCCGCCTTGGAACGGTCAGCAGCATAATAATGACTGCTGGGGAGTTTAAACCGGTTAATGGTGCACCAAACCTCGCTCTTAGCCCCACTATGTTCCTACTTTCTACTTTCACTGAATATTTCTACTTTCACTGAAAATGCTTTCAACCAAAGGCCTAAGGCTCCTTGCCATTGGTTCTTGTTGCTGGGCCATATGGGGGTTGCGTTCATTGAACGCCGCCATTCCTTGTTGATCTTGTTTATCATATTCTAATTAGCTCACATTTGCCATTTGTTAATGACTGTGATGTTCTTGTTCGATGGGTCAGGTATATCAGGAATATCAGGTTTCGTATTTGTATCCTCCACCTGAAAGTACTCACGTGCTGCCTCTACCACATGGGAGATAATGAAGGTCACAGCAAATTCCTTGTAGTGGTTCTTTACATCTTAAAGTGACATTATGCACATCCAAGGGTATATAGTGAGGGAACAGGCAAGTATCAAAATAAGTTTTCATTTTGCCATAATTCCTTTTATTTAATAATTTACTTCCCATAAACAATAAATAACAAACAGATCGAAATAAAATTTCTGTAAATATCTATTACAATTTACCTCTAACGCTCAGTTTATAAAAAGAGTGGGGCAGTCTTTTTATATTTTAGGCAGATTTATAATTTTATCCTTAACGTTTTCTAATATCAACTGTTGATCAAACACTATTTTAACAGTCAATCTTTTTAAATATAAAGTCAATTCAGCTCAACTTGACTATGAAAATATGAGCATAATGTCACTTTAACCATCAGCATCTTTTCGTTGAAAACGAATTGTTTGTGAATGCAGTGGTAAATTTCATTATTTAATGTATGATAAAGAATTTGGTAAAAGCTAGCCAGCACAGTCATTTGCAGATGAAATAATTCAAATGTTATGGGTTTTAAATGCCAGGGTGAGCGAAACGGGGAACCACGCATCTGTTCGCGAACGAACACTTCCGGGTGATAACAATTCTGAGGAAACAAATCGTCTAGTTGCAGTATTTTTCTTGAAATACAGGCTCATTAGGACCGAGTTTCAATTGTCGAGCATAAAAACATTAAATAGTAAGTAGAATTCAGTTGCTTTAATGTGTGTTATACCCTGTTGGTCTCTTTTTTATGCATTTCAAGCAAAAATGTTAGTTACAACGTACATATCATGGCGGTCTCATCTTTTGGACATATGGTAATGGACGGTAACTTGCATTTACAAGAACCGTTCATGAACAGAATAAGTCAAACCAAGTCTACAACATATTCAATTTGTCTTGTTTGGCCCCGGTCTCCTGTCCCCTTCCCCTTTGTTGGCCTATTATTCTTTTCTTTGAATTCCTAATCAGTTACAAATTATTTATCATTTAATGATTAACCTGTCCGTGCTCTGTCTTTGCCCTACCCTGTTTTTGTTTGGGGTCCGCCTGGGCTCCTTGCCACTGGTTCTTGTTGCTGGGTCATATGGGGGTTGCGTTCATTGAACGCCGCCTTTCCTTGTTTATCATATTTTAGGGATTTCGTTTATTTTAGTTAGCAAGTGTAACAATAAGATTTGGGCTAGTACCAACAATTGTCGTACATTTTGATAACAAATTTTAGTATGGCGATCGACCTTTGATTATTTAATTTCTTATAATGCAATTTAACCCCTAAGAAAAATATCAGTGGTTGGGTACTACTACTTGAATATTCCTACTTGAATACTGTATAATCACCCTAAGGATATGTTGCCTGCTTTTTAAATTTGTCTTTTGACGTCTTATCTGTGATATGCAGGCTTCATAACCTCAGATCCCCTTTCAAAATTCCATTTTAATTAGTTCCGCCCATTGTTTTCTCGTTAAGGGCAAAAGCATTCTTTTACTTGGGGACCATACGCCGCTTTTCATGGAATGGCACTTCTGTGTCACATTGAAGGTTCCATGATAACCGCTGTATGAACACATCTGCGGATGTTTCTAAATTCAAAATTTCACCATTTTCGTGTTAAATGTTGAATTCTGCTTAAGCCGGTGCTAGGGGGCGTGGACGGTAACTTGCACTTTCCAGTACCGTCCATGAACAGGCTCAATCAAACCGAGCCTGCAACATTTTCAATTTTGTTGTGTTGGACTTTCTTTAGGGATTCTGTTTTTCTCTATTCTATTTGAAAGTACCTTATGATAAATATATAGATGAAAGAAGATATTAAAAAGGAAATGATGAGAAATGCAAACTTGAAAGATATAATTGTTGACGGTGCTAGGGGGTGTGAGGGATGTTGCACTTATATAATTATTAATTATCCCTCATTATCCCTCATGTACAGACTCAATCAAACCGAGTCTGCAATTCTTATGTAATTTTGTTGTGATTTATGCTTCCTAGGGATCACTTTGTTTCCAGACTTTTTGTTTTCTTTTAAGTGTTAATCCCTAATTGTACTTAAGATGATTCTGTAGATGTGTACATTCCTACTGTAATATCTAGGTGTCCTACAGTACCGCCCATGAACAGGCTCAATCAAACCGAGTTTGCAACATTTTCAATTTTGCCGTGTTGAATAATGTTGAATCACCGTTAGGGAATGTTGCCTGCTTTTTAAATTTGTCTTTTGACGTCCTATCTGTGATACGCAGGCTTCATAACCTCAGATCCCCTTTAAAACTCCATTTTATTTAGTTCCGCCCATTGTTTTCTCTTTTAGGGCACACGCATTTTTTTACTTGGGGACCATATGCCGCTTTTCATGGAATGGCACTACCGTGTCACATTGAAGGTTCCATGATAACCGCCTTATGAACACATCTGCGGATGTTTCAAAATTCTAAATTTTACCAGTTCATGTTAAATGTTGAATTCTGCTTAAGCCGGTGCTAGGGGGCGTGTAACGGTAACTTTCCAGTACCGTCCATGTACAGGCTCAATCAAACCGAGCCTGCAACACTTTCAATTTTGCCGTGTTGGGCTTTCTTTAGGGATTCTGTATTTATCTATTTTGAATCTTTAGGGATTCTTATTTTCTCTATTTGAGAAACTTCGTGCTCAGTTGCTGGAACACACATCTGACAGGTTTACATTTCAGCTGAACACGCTCAGTCCTTTCATCAAACAGATTCATCGTAGGTCCAACAGCTTTCAACCAAGAGATCTTAAGGTCAGCTTATTTCTCTGTTTTATCTAATATCAGAAATTGACAAACCGGATTTTAGCATCTGTTCAGAATGACAATTCATAATTGTTTCTGCTGACTTTACACAGGAATGACCTCGACAATTAATATGTCTTAGTTCCAGGACTTTTAACAAAATAAAAAAATCAAGGATAGTTTCATTGCTGAATAGTCCTATGGTCTTGACCGCCATCTGTTAAAAATAAATAAGATAGATTTAGACTGTGCTTATTACAATAAAGTGGCTTCCAAAATCTGTATGACTAAATGGTGAAAAGTGTTAAAATATACCATCCTTCAAAGTTACATATATCTGTCTTCTGTACTAACTTTCGGTTGCATCATTGCAAATACCTACAGGCAACTTAGGATCATTTGAAGTTTCTGATGATCTGGAGCCTCCTACTAATAAGATATCAAAATGAAACTCCTAAAGAACGCTCTAAATATTGCTCTTCTATGTTCCCTTAAATCATTGTTTGACTTGTCAGTTAAACAAAGATTGTGGTGCCTTCAATAACAACATATTGTTTTAATTACTTAGGGTCATAACTCAACATACACAAATGGAAATGTGTGGGATAAATTCGTCTCTGACGAGGTTTTTAACATGCAACTTTTCATCAAAATAAACTGGTGAATACTCTTAAGATTATTTTAAAATCCAGCCTAATACACTGAAACATTCTTTGACTAGGATTATCTTGAATACTTCTATGATCTCCACAGTCATGGTCTTGCTAGATGTAACAAAGGTTGTTCGTACTTCTTTTTTTCATTATTTTTGTCAAGGTATAAGGGAAATGACTGTAAGCTTTAAGCTAAATTATCTAAATAGTCTGTACACTATTCCCATGACTTCGCAATAGTTGATGGAGATAGTCTAAACAAAAGACACGCATGTTGTTTAAGACCAGAAGAAAATACTTGTGATGCCGTCTTGTGTTTCGTCTTTAGAATAGTTCTTTAACCTACAAATAAAAAACGTATTTTAATAATGTAAGTTGCAGAAGTCATGGGCATGTCAGAATTCCAAATTTATCACAAAGTTTATTTAAAAGCTATGATAAATAATCATCAAATGTCAGGTGGGACAAAATGATTACTTTTGACTAATATAGAAGTACTTTCTACTCATATTCTACTCATTTTCAAGTGTGTGAGTTATAACTTTAATTTTGATACATGTGCAAACAACTTGTTAACTGGACATTGTTTATCGGTTAGGTATGCTCTTTTCTTTTTTTAGGTGTTTGATTTCTGTTATCATGATAACCACCAATATACCACAGAGCACACAACGTGTCATTGCACTTGTTGTTAGTGAAACTGGAATTCTCTATCTCATGTGCATCATCAACCAGATCATAATATAGTCTCCGTTTAACTTAAAAACATAGATATTACAAAAGAAAATTATGCACTACGAATTGTTTTAGCATTCACACCAGTGTTGTGTTTAATATTACTTTTTATTAGGTTTATAGCTTTCACAGCATATGAGTTATACAGGATGACTAGTGTGATGATCTTGTATAGGTTTCCTTCAGTTTCTGCTGTGGGAGAGCAATAATTATGTTTTTTGTAATTCCTGGTTCTAAATCATCACACTGGATCACATTATCTTTTATCAATGTTTTTAACTAAGCACAACAATTCAGTTGTCTTGTTACACTTTTATTTTGAATCCTCTTTTACCTTTAATAACTTATCATAACTTTTAACACACTTTTATATACAATCAAGTTTTAAGAATACATTTTAGAATTCTTTTTAGAATACTTTTTATAATTCTACTTTTCAGAATAATTTTACTTTTTAGAATGAATGATCACATTGACAAAATACTAGCAATATATACCATCAAAGATTATTCTAGATGAAAGTTACTAGTACATTCTAAACTACTATAGAATACAGCAGAACAAATACATCAATCATTTCTAGCAGTATCTAGATAATTATAAACGTTATACATCATTGATTATAAATACAAATCCTTTAACAATGTAACCACTATGAAATGAAAACCCAATAACTATTCATCAATACATTTATAATCTTAATCCCTATTCAAATGATAACAAAAGGAGATAATCGCGATCATTCGCGACATCTAGAGTAATGAAATGCGTCAGTACAACTGACATTTAGTTATTTTTACATCAAGTATCAATTCTACCAAAACAAGTTTCACTTTGTTTCCAGGTGTTATATACACTTCTGAATTAATTTAATTAAGATTAAAATGGTTACATGCAATCAGACAACATGCACAAATCACAATGTTGCCTTTAACTGCAATCGCATTTTGTATCTGTAACGTATGGAAGCACTGGAGGGCCCTTTTGACTTCTGACTTAATGACTTTTGACTTGGGAGTTATGACTTTTGACTTGGGAGTTTTGACTTTTAACTCAAGACTTATTACTTCTTAGTTGTGAAAGTAATTAATTAAACCACACTTTAAGAGAGCACGTGAGTAATGAGCGAAGATGGCTGTGTTGTGCCAAAATATCAAATTCGTGTTTGCGTGTTGTTTTCTATGCACTCTGTTGAAGATAACAGCTGGTGTGGTGCCAGCTTACCTGCCTTTGTCGTCTCCGAATGTTGATAAAGCATCACTCATTGAAGAACATTTCAAACAAGGTTTTAAATACAATGAAATTCTTGGATTTTTGCTACTAAAGCATGGTATTTTGTTGTCACTGCGTCAGCTGAAAAGAATCTTGAAGAAGTTGAACCTGAAACGTCGAGGTGTACATTTGCAATCGCAGTTGAAAAACGTGCGTGTAATTGGCACGGAAATGCATTATAGTGGAAAGTCTGTCGGTTATCGGACAATATGGCGCCGGCTGAAAGTGAATCATAATATAGATGTAAGCTATAAAGATGTCATGGACATAATGAAGGCAATAGATCCAAATGGTGTTGAACTGAGAAAAGCACATCGACTTAAAAGACGTTTCTATTGTGCAAAAGGGCCAAACAATATTTGGCATTTAGATGGTTATGATAAGTTAAAACCATTCGGATTTTGTATACACGGAGCGGTAGATGGTTTTAGCAGGAAAGTTATCTGGTTAGAAGTTTCTGAAACTAACAACGATCCAAAACTGATTGTGATATATTATTTAGATGCATTGAAGCGCATTGAAAAAAACACCTCGCATACTTCGTTGCGATGCTGGAACAGAAAACAGTGTTGTTTGTCTTCTACAGCAGTTCTTTCGGAATGAAGCAACCGACCACTTTGCTGGTAGTCGCTTATTGTTGGAAGAAGCACTTCTAACCAGCGCATTGAAAGATGGTGGGGTACGCTACGTCAACAAGGAATACAGTGGTGGATTAACTTTTTTAAGGATTTGCGCGATTCTGGTCGTTTCAATGAACTCGACCAGATACATTGCGAAAATTTGAAATTTTGTTTTATGAACAAAATACAAACACACCTGTTCAACAGTGGAATGCACATGAAATTAGACCGCAGCACAATTCCGACGCACATTACGGAAAACCTGACATTATGTATTTTTTACCTGAAACGTTTGGCGCGCTTGATTATGGTACGGTGGTTGACAAACGTGATGTGACCTGTTGTAAAGACATGTATTCAGTTCCAAAGAGAAAGTTTGACCTCCAAATGCCAGTAGATGCCGATTCAGCATTGAGTTGAATGATTTAGTGGCAAACTCGTATGAAGACTGAAGTCTTTTTAAGCCATGAAGTTGTTTTGTTAGAGAACAAATGATCAACACGATCCATCATTATCATCATCATCTACATCATCATGATTATCATTATAAGTATGTTGACTGCAATGATGATTGTCATGATGCTGCTCCTCATGATGAAGGTCGACTTTATAATTTAAATAATTATGTTGTTGATGATAAGCAGAAGTTGATTTCGATGATAATGATTATAATCATGACGATGATGGTAACTATATTAAGGATGATGATCGTGATGATGTTGTAAACTATAGTATAATATATTTTATAGTTCATAACGTAAGTGGCATATGTTTATTCTTATGTTTGACAGTCAATTATAACAAACGAATATGTCACGAAAGTCAATGTTATTTCTACGTTCAAATACATCGTGGCTCACAAAGGTCTGTTTGTAACCGTTAACGTTTCAGTCAAGAAAAACTACGGACCTGTGACAAGTGTAGACCGAATAAGTCTGTGCAGGTGTGCAGACTTACTAGGGCCTATATACTTTACTTTCAGTTAATTAGAATCTGGCTATTAAAATGAAGTCACTGCCCCACGTTCATCTTTGTAGACCAAACGCCCTAGTACGAAACTTGCCAGTACTACCGTATTCTTCCTAGTAATCGCCCAGGGCGCTTAGAAAATTGTGAAAAGTGGGCGCTAATTAGGTGTCAGGTCTTACAAAAGTATACAATATGTAAGAGTCACAGCTATGCAAACTCTGTTGATATCTCGTATTTAAAGTGGTCCCGTTTACTGACAAATCACTACAATGGGTTTGAAATGTGAATATTCACAAGTGAAATTTTCTAGGCCCGCGGGCATGCATAAAAATTTAAAATGTCGATTGTGGTCAGTTGATTTTTTTTCTTTTAAGACAATTTATCCTGGGCGCTTAACCACTTACAAATAGAAAAGAAGGGATGGGCGCTTATAGAAGCATTGGCTCTTATTAGGGCGAATAGGTAGTTATCCGTGGTAAGGTCAGCTTCAAGAATTTCCAGGATGACGCATTTGTAAAGCTAAGGACGTTTTAAACGATATTGCAATGACACTTCGTGCACAATGGTCTGACTTGTGACTTCATATTTCTGACTAGAGACTTCCTATTTGTGACTTTTGACTTCTTACTTGTGACTTCCTACTTGTGACTTTTGACTTCCTACTTGTGAGTAGTGACTTCAAACACTTGTGGTCTTGACTTTTTACGTATCGACCTCTATAACAAATGCACGGAATTAATATATGGTTTGGGGATTGACAAAGGAACAGATATTCAACCGCCATGAAGCTGTACGTGTATCATTAAATGCAACTAAAATATAATAAATTTCGAGAGCTTGGTGCAAAACAGTTGTATCTCCTTCTTTATCTAGTTTAAGTTACAACCGTTTCGCAATAAGCCCTCAAAATGGATTAAACAACTAGACTTTTTCTAGCCCTAGTATTAAGCGCCCGTGTAGGGCAAGGTCATGCACTAAAACTCTGATTTTTTGTTCTTATTCCACAAGTCCAATTTTACTATAGCACAGCTTTGGATACGAGACACCAGCACACGGAAGGTGGTTCTTTTTGTTATATTTTCCTCTAGATGACAACAATATCATTCTCAGCAAAGCTTCTACTTAAGCTCACGCGATCAAAAACTACAATAAGAGCGTCATGGGCAGCACACTCGACTATTTGGTAGTAAAATGAAAACCATCTTAGTCGACAAGGCAGTCAGTTTTAACAAAATGCTTGACCGAGTTATCTACCCATGTCTGGGGGTTGGGGTCATGGTGGTTAACAAGTCTGCAAAATTTCAAAGCGATATCTTAAGGAACTTGGAACATAATTGATGTGGTATGAAAAATTGGACAGAACATTAAACTAACGCCGACGCCCGGATGAGGTGAAAGCTCTCCTTATTCTTCGAATAGTCGAGCTATAAATATAAATTACAGGATGTAAAATCAAGGAAAATTAATACAATTTTGTTCTAAAAGCACAACATGACAATATCTTTTAAAAAATGTTAGTATTTATTATATTATTGATTTAAAAAAGAACTTTTATTTAACAATAAACAATTGAAGTAGAAGTTTGTTCCATTTCTTGGAGCAGCGAACTAGTAGTTGGGGGCTGTTTTTTCTTCTTTGCCTTTCTATTTTTAATGTTGTCTATGAATTCCTTTATACGTTGTTTCCTATGTATGTCCTGTAAATTACAAAAAGATAAAATTTCGAAAGGTGCTTCATTTTGTGCTTCATTTTATCAACATTGCTTACCTGGTGTTTTAATAATATTATTTAATCACTGTTGCACAAGAGATAGTATTTTGTGATTTTGTGTACTTCATTCAAACAATCTCAATTAATTGAAGTTTCAGAATTACAATTTTCTAATACTAACCATTAACGACACAAATTATACTGTCATGAGATAATCAGATTACACATGGTTTAGTTGTTTTAATAAAACATAGCAAATATATTCCGTTACTAATCTTTATTACAAATGGCATATTCTTATTAAGGGGAGGTAATTATGGGAGAACAGGATACATATCGGTAAATAAAACAAAATCAAGTCGATGACCTAAAAGAATTGAAGATTGGAAGGTATTCTGTACAGTTTTACTGATAGCAAAGTTTTTTTTTATTATTTTGATTTCTGACAAGGTCTAGCTGATCAACTAGCTAGCTGAACCAAAGTGTTTTTGAGCCACTTATAGCCTCCTGGGTCTAGTTCTGGCTTTCAAATATAATATGCCGTTTTTTTCATCTGAGGAGGCATTTTGTTCCCGTAATGTACAGTAAACTATAAATATGGGAACGTCGAATGTGTTTGACCAACCCGAATCCAGTGATAAATCTAATTCTCATATACATGGAGAGGACCAGATGAATAACCTTGATGAATAAAATTGGTGTGTAATTGTATTTTACATGTATGCATAATCAGTCATTTAAAGAAGAGTGTTTCTTTGTTTTTTAGTTTTGTGAATGGTATTAATACACTAAACGAAATCGATCATTCCGACAACCTTTTCCATGTACATGTATATACAAATGTATAGTGGTCAGAATAATTATGTATATATATACTTGTATAGAATAATTACAACGATTCTTGTATAAACACTTATCATAGTATCATCATTTTATATCAGTAAATGCATTTTGTAATAATTCAATCTTAACAAGAAGCCAATAACTGATTTGGCATATATTTTGAAAACTCGAGCTTATCTGCAAGTTTAAATCTTAGTACTTATAAATTTCATTAAGTATAGATTGTTTGATTGATGGAAGTTAGACTCGGTTCCCCCGTGAGGCTTGAAAGGAGTCACTTTTCTCACATTGAGGGAGAGTGTTAATTTCTTATGGTAAACGCATCTAGATCTCAGTGAACAAAAATACACAGACCGTCCAAATTGTATTGCCCGATTAGTGATGGATATGTATAACATCGCTAAATTACATTATTTAAGAAGAATATTCAAGCAAACTATAAAAACTTACATCATCTGACAAATCGCTGTCCGCCATGTTGCATCTCCTGGCTTAAAATGAGCGGCAATGCATCATCACAAATTACAAGTCACAACTTAGAAGTCACAAGTCATAACTCCCAAGTCAATAGTCAAAAGTCATTAAGTCAGAAGTCAAAAGGGCCCTCCAGTGCTTCCATAGTAACGTCTCTAAATATATTAAGTAATTAACATGACAAATAAATTGCCCAACCAACGTAAATTACAATCTAACTAAGTTCTGATAGCAAGCTCAATCCTACCCGCCTCCCCGTAAAAATAAATATAAATTACACTTTTATAGTGTTTGCAAAGTCATGAGAACAGTGAACGCATTGATACCTGTACAACTGGTAGATGATTTCCATTTTAAATATGAACGATCGTCTAATTATACTGTAAATAATACACAAGCGTTGCCTTTCCTCAATCTGAAATTAGCGTTTAGCCATAGTCTAGAAATACCGAATATACATGTAAATAAGCACGTCTTTAGCCACTATCTGAAAATACTGATTATAATACTTTCAAACTGGAATTATGATTTAGCCAATGGATAAACAGTCCTGATGATAGTAATACACGTGTGACTTTTTTTTTCAACTGAATTAAACAGGCTTTAGGTGCTAGGGGGCGTAGAAGGTAGTTTGCAATTGACAGTACCGTCCATGAACAGGCTCAATCAAACCGAGCCTGCAACTTTTTCAATTTTACCGTGTTGGACTTTCTTAAGGGATTCTTATTTTCTCTTTTTCTTTTTTTAGCCACTGTCTTAAAATACTGATAATAATTAACATGTGTGCTTTCATGAATTAAGCCACTGTCTATGGTAAACACGTGTTGCATTTGTTTGTTAATGAAAGAGTTGTCCATCTACAGATTATTCCTTAACAGTTGAAATAAAGGCACATTATGCTCAGAAACAACGAGTTTTTTTTAAGTTTGAAAGAAGTGCAAATAGATACAAACCGTTAAATATATTTCTTTTAATATTAGCGCATGATAGCTTTTTTGTATCATTTGTTAAGGCTGTGGGTAAAAATAATTTTGTGCCAGGATGAGTGCAGTTCATCATAAACCCGTTTAAAATACATGTCTATCTATCCTTCAATCACATCGCTTAACGATCTAGTTAAAGTTGTTTAAAACTGATATGATTACGATTTTTTATTAAACATTTAGAAACGTTTTTATTTTGCATGCGTTTTAGCGTGCGTATATCGTTTAGCGTATTTCGTTTTGCGTGCGCTTGCGTATTCCGTTTCGTAAAGCGTGCGTGTAACGTTCGTTCGTATAGCGTGTTACGTTCGTGCGTTTTTTCAAGAGGGTGCGTATTGCGTGTAAACTGAAACGTCCACCCTACTGTAACACCGTTGTTTATATCATACCCCGTTCAGTCAATAACATACATTTCAAACGAACAAATTTAAATTTTATTATTAAAGTGATAAAACTTAAATAATGCTTTATAATGTAACTGCATAATGTTGATCCTGAAACATTTGTAACCATTTCAACATAAGATAGTCATCAAAAATGTGTAATTAAGATATTAAATTTGTTTATATCTTAATCTAAGGTTTAAATTATAGCAAACAATACTATTTAAATTTAAGACAGATAATTAAGCTTAGACAAAACAATATCCAGTTGCAAAATGTTTAAGTTATCGAATTGTTATCCTTTGATACTGAAAATAATTTCGCCAAACTGTGTTTGAAATGACAAACAGATGAATAATAAAATCTGACATCAACTAAAATTCATTTGTATGATGTTCCTTCAAACTGTTTAGTCATTCAATTAAAAATGTGTTATATGACTCTGTTTTGACAAAGCAGTTTTATATTCTTAACTTCTGATTTGTTTCACAATTATCTAACCTGATCAAAAGTGGGACTGTTTAGATAAATTATAATGATGATATTAAACATTTTGACAAAGTTGCTGTACGTTGCCGACATGAAAACGTGTTTAATTATTTCAACTTTGTTAGTTACCTGCTCATCGGAGCCACACTGCTCCAAATTTCATTATGAGGAAAAACTACTGGAAAAAATGATCAGGACAGAAATTCTTGTTGAAAATATGAAGAAACAAATGGATACCATAGAAACGCGAGTTACCGAAGCATTAGCCAAACTTAACGAGAATACTGTCAAATGGAACGGTGAAATAGAAGCAATGCAAGAAAACAGCAATACAAGTCTTCAACTGGTCCAGGAGAAAGCAAGTGATCTTGACAAAAATATGCAAGAAGTGCAAGACTTGAAAGGTAATCTGCTTTACTTTTGTGTATTTTGATTAAATGTTGTTAAGGATACAAACCTGTTTTGTTAAACCTGTTGGAAAAGGTGTTTTAATATTAAGATGATTCAATTAGCAAAACAAATAGCCACGGTCTAAATTACATGTATATGTTGATATCGACTTATTTTAACACTTTCTATGGGTCTGGAAAATTTCAGTTAAAAGGAAGGAGAGTTATATAATACTAATTATAGAATATCATTGACGTTCTTTCGTTCGCTGTTCATCACGTACATTGCTATGTGACAGATGACATTTGAAAGAGTAACGACAATAATAAGCATTTTGCAGGCGGTCATGTTAATATTTTGTAAATTATGACGTCCCAGTGAAAAATATGGAACATAATTAATGCATTTATTCTATCTTGCTTGATGACATTGGAACTTGCATTAACTTTGATTCCATCTTGCTTTATGATATTTAAACTTTGAATTATGCTGGATTCCTTTTTGCATTATTACATGCAAAATTGCGTAGCGACGTTTGATAACAATTGAACTTGCACAAGTCATTTATCGTACTGTTTTTGGAATATCATATAAAATGTTAACGTCATATACCTTTATGTATAAGCTACTTTTCTTCATGCACTTAACAAATAATTTACGGTTTAGTTCTATTTTGTATTACTTTTATGCAGAAGTTATTCAAAATTGACTATTTTTTAATTCTCTACTTCGTTTTGTACACCTAAAATCACACGATCGATTTTGTTTAAGTGTTTATTATATGAGATATTGTTCGCGTGGCGTGATTACTGTTAGCTATCGCTTATTTCCATTATTCAGTGTTTATGCTAAATAAAACTCGGTCTCTGATTATTTGTGGATCATGTTTGATCATCTGACATTGTATATAACCCATTTAAACAATGTCTAGCGATTGTGAACTGTTAAGGGACGAGAACTCTGTTATCGAGATCAACGGAATTTTCCCACATTTGGCCTATCATCGGCATTTTCCGTACATAAACTGCGGTGACCATACAACGGAATGTAAATACCTATCAAACACTAAATATACAAGTACAAATGTTGCTGAGAAGCTCCGCGCAAAAAAATGTGCTCAGTACAGATACCTTACCAAATCATTTCTGCGCACAAGTCATTTTCCATTTAGATTAAGGTGACAACGGAGTCAATTATTACTGAAAATACCTAAAATGAGATTCTTTGCTTAGTAGATTTATCAACCTTTTCTGAACACATTCGTGATTTAATTTTGGAAGCAGTTAGTCCAAAAAATGTGTTTTTAAACGTTTTAAAACGGTACCTGTACCATTTTTATCTGCTATTCGCGTAATCTGTCAATTATCGATAACGCTCCGCCCCCTGTTGAGGCATCAATGAGGGAAATTGGTAGTTCCATATATCCGTGAATTACCCGTCCATACTGGTCCATCTACTCGTAATTCATGTATCGTACAAATACCGTACATCTTTTATGAATATCGTCTACCTTTTATTAAGCATTTTTTTAAAATAAGAAATTGTCGGCCAATGTACGTAACATAATGTATGAAACATAAATAATTAAGCATAGCGGCAAATCGCACGACCACGGGTTGATTTAAAATAGAGTTGCTAAAATATCCATAATGTGTGAAAATAATTTGTCTGTCCCGTTAATCTGATAGATATTACATTGAGTTTATGGACTTTTGTACGGATTCATCGGCTTGCTTTACATTCAACCTCGTTTTCTAACAATGTCAAGTAAAACAACAACAAAAACAGACAACATTTTTTATGTGAACGCCTATATGACTTGTGGTAAGGTGTCCCTGACAAATTTCTAAACCATTTTAGATTGTTTAAGGATGATCATTTCTCTATGAATCAATAAAAAAAGATATTAATATATACTATCAGTGAATGCTCTGAAAAAATTGTTCGCCAGTAAATCGAACACAGTACTAATAAACCTGGGACAAAGTATGGAATTTATATTGTATATCCCAGTAGAAACTGGATATCTATACCGTGCATAGATGATTTTCATGATAAAAGAAGTCATAAAGGTCAGATCATAATGATCGATTGATACCTTTTATTTCTATTATAATATGTCAAGCATTTATTTCAATTTGGAGGGAGAAATATATAATATCTCGTTTTTATTTTTACATTTACCATGGACTTTAAAAAACCATCAGAAGCTCAGTTTTTTGTTATTTTAATTTATATTTTAACGGAATTTCATATACGAATACACAGACAGAGTGACGCTGGTATAATATAATAATAATGCTGATGATAATAATAATAATCTTCAAAAGTGAAACAATTAAATACCCCGCAAGCGGTGCGCAAATACGTTCCATTTCCCCCCACCGAGTGCCTCAAATTTTACCAAAAGTCACGTGACATGTGCGACCGACAGTAAATCACGTTAAGATTTGAAGAAATTTCTGTTATAAACTGATATTAATCAGCAACTTTTTAATTGATCAGATGTCACTGGGTCATAAAATGTTGTTAGAGTATGTTAGCGCAACTTGTGACCCTCTCTGGTGCGATATTTGTGTATTATGCAATTATTTAGCGTGAAACGTAGGGGTCCGAGAGAGAACAGCCGATTTATGACACTTCGTTTGATGCGGGTCGGACTAACTTTGAATCGGCATAACTTTTTTAATAATCAAGCAATTAACATGCGGTTTAAAGCACATGAAAGGGAATTTATTTACGGAGGGAACCGTGTCAGGGATTTTTGTTTGCTCAATCAGCGACTAAATTATCTTTAATTACGTAGTATGTATGGTGAAAAAAGTCGCATAAAATGTTTGACGTTACGTAATATTTTTTTGAGAAAAGATAGAAAAAATTTGAGACACGGTTCCCCAGATATTATAAGTATGTTTATTTTCCTAAAGTTTGATGACAAAAAAATAAAAAATGACTTTGATATGACGATTTAAAATTTTAGGATTTTTATTAAAAATCAATCATTTACAAAGGCATTTTTTTCAAATATGTTATTTTTTATGTTGATCAACGACATTTAATGCACAAAGATTAAATACATAACAATTATTACTAAAATAAGTTGGTTTAAATGACATTTATCTGAGTACCACGGAAAGTGTCTGTTGTCACCTTAAGGAGTAGTGTACATTATACCAGATGTTGTGTAAATCAATTAAATTTGCATAATTATACTTCTCGTATGCACTGTCCATGACAGAGGAGCCAGATATTAAATTTTTTAAAATATGCTTTTACTGATGCCTACCTGGTACATGTAAGGAAAGTAATTCAAATACAAACAAGACTTACAAGACTTGTAAATGTAATGTGACATGACAGTAGTGCAACATTGTTCTGTTTGTGTCGCTACTGTAGTCAGTAATATTAGATGTAAAAAATATCAAAGCATGTACATTTTCTTTTTCACCTATAATACTATTCACTTTCTACAAATATCAACAACTAATCATTGTAGGAAATATTAAAATCCAAATGTAAATAAGCCAAATCGACTTTATTTTTCAAAATGTCCGTTACATGTTTTGCGCCAAATGGTATATCATGTTAAGCAAGAAAGGCATTGATGCAAAGAATCAAATGGCGTCCAAGCAAGAAATGCAGCAAGCGACGATGAACTAGTAGACATCTGATGACAGAATATTCTTTTAAACTTTTTAATGGTTAATTGGATTTTACCAGAATTGTACATGTATATCATAGATGAATGGGAGGACGAAAGACATTGTTTATCGTGAACTTTGGTCGGCTTGCTAAAAATAAAAATATTATATGTATTGTCGTTGGAACCTACAAAAAAATGGGATGGATTTCTAAAAGACCAAATTCATGATTGTTTTTTGTTATACGCGATAACAAAAATAATGGTACATTTAAAATCATGAATAAATTTGCATGGCATGTTGATATATTAAAAAATTATTTATCAATGGAAGATTGTTACCTGTATTTTAGGTATGAGAAAATTCACTAACATCATGTTCATGCGAGTCAAAGATATAAAAGGTACTTGACATAGGTTATAAATAAAGAGTTATTGTTAATTGATTTATTGGGAGATGAATCTACTATTTTGTTGAATTGCTTCAAAATCCTCGTCTGATCCATCAGTGTGTTTATATTCCAATCAAAAAAACCCATAACACCTCGACAAACGTTTCTGTTGTTAAAATACATGTCGCAGTATCCGGCAAATCAAAACATTCCACTCAAACCACCATAAAACCGATTGCCTTCAAACAAAATGGAATCAACTTCTAATAGCAAAAATTCGGGACACCAGGGTCGATTTAAATAATCAGGGGAGCTATTAATTTACTTTTTTTTTCGATAAGTTATAAAGGGTGCAATTTATGGTTGAATATGTTTGCATTTCATTCTGCAAAACTCTCCAGTTCGTTCAATTACCATAGCGGTTAATTAAACTACTTCTATAAATAGATTTTCGGACTTTCTCAATGTTAAGGTCATATCTATTTATAGCTTTGTTCCCGTTCTCATTCATTAATATGACATGCTGCGAATCACCGAAGGGGAGACCAATATATGACTTTACATAATAGAAATCGAAAGGAAATCGTGCTTCCGAATTTATTTTTAGCTGTAAATCGAAGGGATTAATTGATAAAAATCGGGTCCATGGACAAAAAACTAGTGGTAAACACAAATAGCTCCGCGTCCATAAATTGCCCAGAAAAGAATATAAACATAAGAAGAAAAAGTTTATGCAATGCAATTTTATATATGTATACAGTCTAATTGAAAGAAAAAATATATTCGTGAACAGTTATTAAATGGGACAGTTATACAGTGGTGGATTCAGGTCCTGGCTTAAGGGCTGCACCCATCCCCAGCTCAGCCCAAGCTGTGATGGAATATATACGTGTCAGTTTCATGCAAAAGAAGTGGTTATAGTGTGCTCCCTTATAAAACATTTAATGTCATCATACATTTGTTAAGCACCTGCCTAGGTGCTGCAAAGGTCTTTATCTATGATTATTTAAATAAAGACACATACAATGTATGGGAATCTGTGTTCCTTATAAGAGGTCAATTGAGTAAAGTTGTGTATTTCGTTAAAACACACTTCCATTCTTTTAATAACTTTTACGATATAAATGTATATCCATAGGGCCCACTTATAGTGTATAGGATTTAAAGCAAAACATTTGTATGAAGCCAAATGATATTTAATTTATATAACATAAAGTCTGTGTATCCGGTGTCCGCCCCTATACGCCCCTATAATGGACGTAACTTTGTTATACTCCATGCGCCAAAATAGCGGGACCATCCGGGAAATAACGGGATGTACCGACAAAGCGACACCTGCTGTTTTAATATGAAAATGAAATATTGCAACTCTCATTATGCTTACCGCCAACCGCTTAGTGCGTTCCGTAACATGCGACTATGATATCGCTATCGTTGTCATCTTCGTTGTTGATGCGCAGTGATCATGCATTGCATTATATTTGTAATCAGTGAATATATTGAATCATATGAAGGCTAAGACACGTCAAAATCGCCAAGTTTGGATTAAATTCAATTATTTGTTGTGAAATGGTGTCGACAATGTAAGCGGCAAATTTATAGCAAATTAAAGGTACTAACAGGAGCTTACCATTTTACATCTATAGTTATATCAAGAACAAGCAAAGAATGTTATCTTAAACACCGAACATAATACGCTGTGTAATTAAACATATAGCATATTAAAATATGCGAGTTTGATGGTTTGGAGGGGAACGCATGAAGTTGCAATTACATAATAGTACATTCAGTAACCGTCATGCATGATAGTATTCTTCAAAACGTAGGTTTCCTTTGTCATAAAAAAGTATGGAAGCAAGCATAATGTAAGTCCCAATATCATTAAGCAAAATGGAATAAATGCATTAATTATGTTCCATAGAAAAAACCTTACGTACCTTGCGTATTCATCTTACGTAACAAAAATGTAGATAACACAAGTGTTACGCACACTTTCGACCCGCTGATAGGACGTTTACCACAACTTTTCGCGTAACTTCAAACTATCATACTTCTGACAGAGAACCGTATCTTTCCGGACAAAATAGTAATGGCGGGGAAATCGAATTGTTGGAAATAGCTGATAAAATATCTTACTGCTAGACATTGCAAACTTATTCGAACTTTTTAATTATTCCATGGAATATATGAAACAATTCATCGTTATTCTAGCACAACACACTTTGCAAACCAGCACATATTTCGAAGAAATAGTTTTGTCGATCTCAACATGACTCGTACTTGTCAAACCTGTGTTATAACGACGATGTGTTTTTGACCTGACGAGCCGGTATATATATAGTTGTAAAGCATAAATACAAGTTCCATACAAAATGGTATGTTTCGATTGTAAAGTTTTGGGAAATAATGGTGAAAAAAATCCTCCTGATACGAATAGTGTTTTTAGCTCACCAGAACCGAAAGTTCAGTGTGAGCTATCAGTATCAAAAGGGTATGGTCCGCATTGTTTCTGGCTGTTTCTGTGAGCGACTCAGGGCCATAATGTCCCTCTTTTTGTTGTTGTTGTTTTTTGTGTTTTTTTCCACCATACTGTGTAAGTAACTGTAGAAATATAGATCTACTTACAAATATGTAAGACTGTTAACTAATAAAATGTTATTTTATGAAGATGAAGGGCAAATCTATGTAAAAATACCAGTTATAGATAACTGCAATGGGGTCAATAGATAGTAAGTCGATTTTTTTTCCTTCTTTTTTTTCGAATTTCTTCAAATGCATAAACCCCACATGGAAATAAATTTCTTCGACCGACGTTACTGAAATAAACTACAGAAAAAATGCCGTGATTTATGGATAAATATTGCGGTGTCCACATATTGACCAAGTTTTACGGTGCCTAAATTACACACGTTGAAACGTGAAAAATAAAACAAATATACATAAAACATGTTATTAAAGTGGTGTTACTTGTACAAACGACAATTATGTACATATTTAATTGTTATTATTTATATTGCATTTCGATCAGTGGACTATAATGTCGTTATATTTTGCAATCAAAGCAATATTTTTCACAGTATGCCCAAACTGTTTTCACTATTATATTGACTTAGTTAGTGAAATATTTTGCATGTTGTAAAGAGTAATAAGTTTCAATTTAAATGACACATTCGATGGAATGAAAAAATCCGATGATATTTCCTTGTTTTGGGCAAATTATCATCTGTTTTATTGTCGTATGCAGGCTTGACATATATTTTGTATGACAGAAAGATAAGGTGTATCGCTGTACATGTACCAGAAGTATGGTATTTTGACGTTGCGTTAAATGCCCTACCACAGTGGTCGACAAAAGAGTGCAACTTCAAGATAATTGTGCTATTTCCTGAAATAAATCGATATTTACGGATTGATAAAGACTTTGTTGTCTATAATCAGGGATCTTTTTGCATCACTGATCTAATTGATAGTAATATGATAGCATTATAAGTTCATTAAAGAATATAACCAATGTTACGATATAGTAATATCAACATTTGTCTATGAAAATGATATTTGAGAATGAAACGGAAAGTCTTTAACATATTTTTTTACATATGGTACTTTATGAACGAACAAATGCTGTCAAGTGAAATGCGTATGGTAACAAAGAACTGCACACAAAATTGATAAAATATTTAAAAAGTTGAGGTAATTATAAACTTTAAAAAAACATTTGTGTATTACAAACAAAAAAGTTTCATATTTAATACAAATATTAGTAATGTTATTACTTTAATTTCAGCAAAAATTGTATCGCTAAAAATTGCTTTCAATGCAAGGAACATAAAAAACAAAAGTCCAGCTGTCGGCGACACCATTGTATTCACTGACATTCTCCTTAACTTTGGCGAGGCTTACAATTCCGACTCTGGAGTATTTACTGCTCCATTTGGAGGCATTTATCTGTTTACAGTTCAGTTATGTATTTCTGCTAGTTTGTATATTGATTATGGATTAGTTGTTGATAATGTTTATATGGATACAGCCAGGTACAACATCGGTACAGGCTATTGTGTCTGCTTCAAGTTAAGCACAACAGTCCATGTCAAGACAGGGAACAAAGTTTTTGTGAAGGTCGTAAGTCGCTCGGGAAGCGGGATTATTTTACATCACAGTAACTCACACTACTCGACATCATTTTCCGGAGTTCGTATTCAGACAGATTAGATATTATTTCTTAACTGACACAAACACCAATGTCTAGATATAAATCATTATCTTGATACCTATAGTTGACAGAATATTTATGTGTTGTGATGATAATTATACCATAGTGATAGAATAATTGATGCTTGTTAATTTCCTTAAGAAATTGGTTCGTCTAAAAAGTGAATGTGGAAAACTGGGAATGTTGTCGAACACTGCCGAACGATGCCGAACTAAAAATGATCCAGACTCTACTAATTACATCAATAAAATCTTTGTTGCAACAATTTCGTGTTCTGTAATCTAAAAATAGCCATAAGCTTTACTTTTTGAACAAATTCTTTTAAGGAACAATCACAAGGATGTTTTCAATATAATTGTTAGGTTGTTGCTCTTTTTGTTTGTTTGTTTTTTGTTGTTGTTTTTTTTTTTTTTTTTTTTTTGTCGTTTTTTTTTTCAAAATTGTGTATACTATATTTTACCGGCCATAGCTTAGCACTGATTAAATTATTGATATTCTATTCTTTCCTTTGGTATCTTATAAATATTCACTATCTATTTTGTCTTATAAATATTCATTCAAATTATATGATGCAATAAAGATAAGAAATAAACTTTACATGTATAATCATTATAATCATTAGTTATCGCCAATTATAAGATATTGTACATTTGTATTTATTTCTATATATTTGTTGCAAAGATTAATAGGGTGCAAGAAATTGATCTCCGTTATGTAGTCTATGCTATATTAGGTTACATAACAAAAGGTAGCTTTTGCTTTCGAGTACTGACACCACAACTGCTCTTAAATAATCAATTTTGAAGCACAGCAAAGTGGTCATTTATTTCGGAGCAGTTTTCTCCGAGTATTAGCCTAACAGATGAATGTTAAAGCTGTGTTGTACGGCGGTCAATGAGTATGTACACGTACAGTCATCTGAGACAATAGCAATTATAAAGTCAGATAGCCCTGACAAGAGATATTGTTGCCAACAAAATGGTCTGTCTTTCAAGCCCTCACTTCGTGCTAGCGGCTCACGCAACTTAGTAGTAAGTTTTGTTTCCTGTTTTTTAACAATGATTCACTTAAAATCTGTTAGGAGAGATTCCTCGGAAGCAAGAAAACAACATGAAAATTGTAAACAAAAAGATAAATAAAGGTTTATTAAAAATGGTTGTTGAACAAGGTTCATTTAAAAATTTTGTTGAACGAAGGTTCGCGAGGCTTGATTGAATTGTTGTGAATACAGAATTCATGTAGTAATATCAATATTATTTAATCAAACAGTTGATATGTGTAATTCAATAATAAATCATGTAATATATTGGTGAGTTGGCTTTGTACTTAAAACTTCCGTGAGTGTTTGGCTCAATATGTCTTCTTTTGTTTGTACCCTCTGAAATAAAATTACACATAACGTATTAGCAATTGTGCATGAGATGATTTTGGTCGTATACGTATGGCATATACGTATGAAAAAATCAGGATAATATTATGGTATATGTTTTATTCAAAAGTTTATTGACATCTTTTTATTAATTATTATTGAAGATTTATAACAAAATGATCACGACAAATATCCTCCACTAGTTCGGTCTTTGTAGTGTTAATGAATGATAAGCTCTTGTCAAAATATTACTGGCCTAGGCAAAAAGTTAAACATCTGAATAATTTAAAGAGAGGCACATAATATAAAGATGTGTAATATTTGTGCAAATGATACCTAGCATGTAAAAATGAATGTGTTTTCCTATTGAAGTATACATTCTACAACTTATAAATTATGGAAGAAATATGGTTAACTAAATGCAAAACATATGAAAATCAATACACCTTACTTATGAAAATGAATCTTTATGGAAACACTTTTTTATAATATAAATAAAATATAGAGAAATATTGATAAAATAAAATGCGTATTTTTATTTTCAGTATTTTCATTATAAAAATTATTTCTCACTGCATTGAAACATTTTTTCGGTATTTTCACTGGCTCTTGCCGGACTACTTTCTTCCAAACAAAATTTAACTTTTATGTCAAAAAAAGAGAAAAATGTATACAATAATAAACAGAAAATTCAAGTTCTATAGGTACGTGATTTATTTTCATCTTGTGGTATGAATGTTATCATATTTCACTCGTGGTTTCGCCACTCATGAAATATTTATTTCATACCACTCAATGAAAATGAATCCTGTATTTATAGGGAAAAAACTTGATTATCCTCTATATATTTACCCGAAATTTATCCTTAGAAGTGGGACAGCAATATCTCCTGGTCTCTTGTTCAGTTCAGAGCAATTCAAGATCAGGGTTAGATAATCTTAACCCTTAACTTGCTAAACCCAAGAGTGATAGCCTCTTCCACAGGCAGAGAGCCATGCTAGTTATAGCAGTTTGAAGAGAATTTATATCGTAAGTATGTCAAATTTTGTACTTTTAAGGGATAACGTTTTCCTTTATGTTATATTAAAATCAATTAATCTTTTAAAAATACTGCTCAAAATTTAAAGCAAGCGAGGTTTTACGCACACGCTAAATGGCTGCGAAGAAATGGTCAGCTGTGCACTGCATACTTTTAGAATAACCGAAAAACAATTACTAGGTAGACCAAAGCCTGTTTATATCTGCGCAGTTGTTGAATTTAAAGGGTTAGCGACACGAAAATTTCGTAACGTCGTACTAGCAGTCTTCGTTTTTAAACTTTGACATGTCAGGTATGATTTAGTCAATGTCGTATTGTGCAAGAAAATCCGACACTATGTATCTTATTTATAAGTAAACAAAGCAGACACGATCGTAATGATTTACCCTTATGTTTTAGACATAAATCAATTTTATACGATATACATGTATAAACTTTTAATAAGCAAACGACCAACAATAAATAAATCAAATTTGAGCATAAACATAGTATACATTTATTAGATATCTATCATTAACAAAATCAATAGAGTAAATATAAATAATTCCATATTCAATTCATCAGACCCGTTATCATAAAAAAATCAAAGGGCTGCAAGCTCTGTGGTATTATGGTACATTTTTTATGACAGCCACATTTTATCATTGCATATCGTGGCTAATTCCTTAAGAAAGAATGTTAAAATCGCTAAAAATACTTAAAAAAAATACAACCAAAAACATGAATTGGATTTGAACCCCAGACCTCTAGCTTCCTAAACGAGCGTGTTACCGCTGGACCACCCGTCAAACAGTCTAAAGCAAACCAAATTATTCTAAATTAGGGTTTGTAATCCTTATTAATTTCGAGTTATTTTGTTGTACACTTGTTGTTTAACAATGATGTAAATAATTTAGCAAAAGTCTTCTCGCCCAAACACTATTCGACAGTCAGAGTTATTTGTGTAAAATGTACGCGCTGAAATGTAGCTAAAAATAGCGCTTTGTTTACGGGGTGATTAACTTTTAAGATCGTTATTTATGGTAGAAATTGATTATCGATCATTATCTCTGTCCGAGAGTCAATATCCTTACTTTATTTTTCAGAAAGTGTAAATAACAAATGTTTATTAAAAGGGCACAATAATCCGAAGCTTAACGGAAATAGCCGAGCAATTTTCATTGGTTAAAATAATATTCAGCAGCGTAATTTATGATTGTGCATTTATTGACAATTCTATAAGCCAAAACTACTTTTAAACTTTGAATGCGTTATAATTCGCTGGATAACAAAATAAAAATATTTCTTTCTTTAACATCGCTAGTTTTAAGCAGTTTTGAGAACTACTTTTATTGTTAGGATTGTTGTGAAGCGCTGTTCATAAGATTGAATGTCAGAATTGTATTTCCTGATCTGCGATCAGAAACTACAAAAACACACGTGACCTCGCTTTACTATATGGCGGCGATTAAGGTTTTTGAAGCTGCAAGGCACAATCCAAATCATCTTAAAAGAAAACTTACGAAACGTTGAAATACGAGTGTATATATTTTCATTTCTTCAAAAGTTCTTTCCTTGTTATTAAAAGTTAACTAACATATTTTATTACAATCCAATGCAGCATTATCGCGTTTTGTTTCATGTGAAACAGTTCCCCTTTAGGTGGAGACAGCGCTGAAGGAGCACATTTGTCTCGGAGCACATTTGTCTTACTTAAGACCGATGTGGTCGCATTTGTCTCACATGAGACAAATGCGACATCAAACTGTCTAACCAATAAAACTCATTTGTGCGATAAATGTGCTCTGATCAAGTTTTTTAAAGGACAAGAAAGCACATCAGTCTTATGATTTTTAAGGGGCAAGAAAGCACATTTGTGTCATGTCATTTTATGAAATATTTGTCACACATTTTCCCACGACTGAAATGTTAGAATCGAGGATCGCCGTTTGACCTCATTTCAAGTGTAATCATCAATAGGTGTGCTTTTTTTTAAGCCATAAAAAATGAACAAATATTTGCGGCTGTCCAAAAATTTATCATAACTACTGACCGTTTTGAAACACTTCCTATTTTTGTAAATCGGCCGATTGTATTAATTTTAATAACCTGGTACCATAAATAATTGACAATCACATTTATGATGGACTTTTACTCCCAATGACGTATAATGCTAAATGCTGGATCCTTAACCTTGTCGTTATTACATAAATATATAAATATACATTTTTTTTCTGTCTTACTTATTTCTTACGTTGTTTTATTTTTTAATGTTAATCTGTCTTTATTTTTTTTTCTTTGTTCGCTTTATATGTATTCATGTCACACTTTCTCATATAAATGCCATCAATGTTGATTAATATATTTTTTCATGGGGAGGGCCGATCGCTTATGTTGTAAGAACTTTGGGCCAACCCTTTTGCTATTTCTTATTTCGAAAACAATTTGGATCTCTGTATATTTACATGTATATATAAGCAATAAAATATGATTAATCAATTTATAAAACTTTAAGCATCGGAAAGAAATGTGTCAGAATTAATTTCTGCATATGCATGTGGGTTCTGGATACTGCACTGGTAGGAATCTTCATTTTGACATGCAGAACAGGGATATCTCTAAGTGAATATAATTATGATCCTATGCAGAGGCAGGATTTTTTTGATTGACCGGAAGTGACCAAAAACGGTATTATAAATACAGAAAACACAGACCAAATGCTGGTAGCCGGTATACGAAAGGGCATAATTATTACCTTTTTAGAATTTTATGGAAGAATGTGAAACAAATGTACTTCGAGTGTCCTTTCTATTGTGTGTCAAACACATCTGTCACATTTTTAATTTGTAGCAAATATGAATGTTTACGAGCACATCGGTCACACATCGTGAGACAAATGTGCTCAGAGACAAATGTGCTCCTACACAGCGCACTCTGTCGCCAGACTTACATTTGCTATTTATAGATT